GGGGGGGGGGCGGCCTTGTGTGAGCCAAGCGCATGCACGCGGGTGCTCGAGTCCACTCACCCTCCTTGGACCATTTGAGATCACCAAGCTCGTGGGAAAAGGTGCCATTGAAAAGCTCTTCCATGCTAGGAAGCTTCTTGCCCGTCTCTCCGGCCGGTAGGCTGACGTCGTTGAATCTGGCTGCAGCTTCCGCATCCTTCCATCCGGGCACGGCATAGTCAAAGTCGAAGTGATCCGCATGCGCGAGCCCAAATGATCCAGCTGCATCGTTGCTCGAAGCGCTGAATTTGGCGAGCTTAAAGTGGGCGGACTTGGGATGCGCGTACAAGGGCAGCGTCCACGCCTCGTCTGGCTTGATGAGCACGACGATGCGACTCAAGGAGCCGCCGGAGAGCCAGGTGAGGATGGGGATGGCAGCTAGCAAGGCAACCAAGACCAAGCAAATGAGCATTAGACCCTTGCGTCGAGTCGTCTGAGCGCCCGATATGGCAGGTATCTGGACGGGGGGGGAAACGGTGTTGATCAGCATGTGCGCGAGGAGGGGGAGACTAGAGCGAGGGGCGTGCGCGCGAGGAGGGGAGGGAGGCTGGAGCGCCACGAGTCAAACGCGCCCCGCGCCCCGCGCCCGCCTGCTCACCTTTTTTGTCGCTCCAGCTAAAGCGGATCGATGTGCGGCGCCCGACTGTCGCTCCACGTCCACATCTTCACCTCGCAGCAATCCTCTTCCCTCCTCTGCCTCACCTTCACCCTCCTCCTCCTCATCATCATCATCCTTGTACCTTTCTCCTCGCACGCTGCCGGTGTGCTGAGGCAGAGGAGGATAGCTGTGCATGCTCATGCTGTGCAGGGTCGCATCGTCATCCGATCCTGCCTCTTGATCTCGACGCTGCGCATCATCGCCCCTCATCTTGGTCGCAGCGGTGGCGGTGCGAGTGCGACTGGACAGGGGATTGGAATCGTCTTGAGATGATGCAGTGGAAGTGGACCCGCGCCTGTCGGACACGGTTGTATCGACAGAGGGCACGCTGAACGGCAGACCGATGTGACGCGTCGGGTCGGCCATCGCTCGCTCTGCTTCACTCGCAAGAGGATCTGCGTCGGTGTGGATGGATGGTGGTCCAGCGAAGCGCGCGCGTGGGTTGCTATAGCGGAGGCGTGCGTGACACCAATACGCGATTCTCCTGGCTGGCTGCTGGTGGGGGGACAAAGTCTTGCGCCTTTTAGGTACAGCGGCAATGCGCCGCTGCAGTCAAGTGAAGAGCGCGGGCCTTGCTGTCGGCGCAGGACTGATCGATGTGTAATATATCACATACAGAGATCCGCACCTACAACTGTGAATCAATCGAGAATCGAGAATGGAGAATGGAGAATCGATAAAGGCGTTGTGAGTGCGTGTCGGGCGTCCATTCTTGAGAATCACTTTGGCGCAGCTCTTGATTCGTCGATCGTCGTCCGTGCATGCAATCTTGAATCAAGAATGGCCGCGCGCGATTCAATTGGAGTCCGTGTCCGAGTCTTGAATTGGACATGAACAACACACAAATAGGTGTCCCTGCATTATTTAATGCAAGGCGCCAGATGCCGCACGCATGGATGCATGCATGCAGGCTGGCTGGCGGTCCGGCGCGATAGCTCGTCAGCCGCATTCGAGTTCAAGATAACATCGGGATTTATATTCTTGGAGCGTTACACGTAGCTCATCATTATTCTTGATTTCGAATCGTGCATACCGCGGGACCCCCTCGCCTTGGCTGCATATATATATATATATATCTCGACAGGGCACGTGATGTCTCATGGCTCATACAATCGTGAATTCTCGATTCAGATTTTGATTGAAACTATTCGTGATTCACATTCCCGATTCTTGATGCAGAATCACGATTCAGAAGTCGTGAGTCCCGAGTCCGTGGGTCCTTGTGTCTGGGGCAACCTTCTTCTCCACCGCATCCACGCACGCTGGATTTCCCTCACTCCGCAAGAATGTCTGTCGCAGTAAACGAGGGCGAGGACGCGATGGACGCGTCTGATGACGCCCTCAAGGGGTTCGTGCTGGAAAAGGTGTTGGATCAAGGCAAGTGGGGTCTGGCTCCTCCTCCTCCTCCTCCTCCTTCGCCTCCTCGCACTCACGCCTGCTGATCTCCTCTGCGCATTCCGCGCGGCGCGCAGACCCGCGCTCTAGGACCGCTTCCTTGCTAGGTAGGCTGGACGATCGCGCAGCCATCTTGCTCCTGGAAAAGACGCACTTTGAGCCGAGCTTCTTCGAAGAGGTTGGATCTGAGCGTCTCTTCTCCCAGCTGAGAGACATTGGACAGAACGACGTCTATCGCTGGTTGTTGGGCTGGAGGAGGAGGAGGAGCTTGCACGATGCAGCGAGTGCATCCAACAGCTCCAACAACGCGCGCGCTCCGGCAGACTTTAAGATGACGTTGATACACCCGGCGTCCGAAACGGTACGTCTTGTGCGTTTTGCTTGTATGCAGCGGGCTCGCTGAACGCATTGCTACCCGTCAGCATGTGGCCAAGTATAGCGTCCAGAGCCGCTTCATGATCAACGGTGAGGCGTGCCTAAGAGCCCCACGTCGCGTCCCCTCCGCTCACCAAGATATACCCCGTTCGCCGTCTCAGAAACGCCCGAATTGTACGAAAAGATCGTCTTGCCATTCATTCTCAGTCAGCCATCGTCGAGGATACAGTGGTGAGAATGGGGCGCGACCCTTGTGCTCTTCGCCAACCTGACCTGGCGTGCTTTGTACCCGACCAAGGGTGTACAACATCCTCGACAAGAAGAAGGAGGCAGATTCGATCATCTACGAGGATCCGGACCCCGAGACAGGCTTCGTGGTGAGTGAGCACGATTGGACCACGTTTGCTGCACCTTCCTACAGCCTTGCCTGAATGCGCGTCGACGCACTCTCACAGCTCTTGCCAGATCTCAAGTGGGACCGCAAAACGACATCTTCCCTTTACTTGGTTGCGATCGCCCACGACCGGTCCTTGCGCAGTCTTCGAGATCTTCGACCGCAAACAGAGACTCCCGCACATGCCCGCTTACTGCGCAAGGTGCAATCGGCCGCAGCTACAGCCGCAAGAGGCACATACGGACTCGACAAGGAGGGCGCTTCGGGTATCAGGTGCTTTCTGCACTACCAACCCACATACTAGTGAGAGCCGGAACGAGAGCGCACGTGGGCCGCCGCTTTTCGTCAGCGGGGGGATCTGATGTAGCGTACCCTTTTTTTGCCCTAGCCACCTGCACATTCACATCCTCTCAGCTGACCACACATCACACCCGGGATCCATCGTTGGGCAAGCGCACCTGCTCGACGACGTGATTGATCTTCTGACGCTCGGGGTAGATTTCAGGAAACGCACCTTGACCTATGCGCTGGGAGAGCGAAGCGAGCTGCTGGCTCTCATAAAGACCTCTGGCGCTCTCTCACCGTGAACTTTTTCAAAACTTGGCCGTTGCTAATGTTCACGACACGTCGCGCGTAGCATGACTTTTTTTGCGAAATCAACACCAAAAGTTCTCCCTTTGACGTCTCTCGCAGGTCTTTTTGAGGTCATCGTAACGACGCTTGCCGACTGTTGTGCGTGAGTGGGGTGCCAGCAGTGAGTGCCGGTGGACACTTGATCCCCACGCTCTGCGCCGCCTACTCACGCAGCTCTTCGTCCCCATCATCCGTCAGCGTTGTGGTCAGATTACGGATCCAAGGCTTGCCTGCTTTTGCCTCGTTCGGTTCGCCTTCCAGCCGGTCTCCCATCCATCGCACACAAGCAGAATAGGATGTGAACGAAAGCAAAGCCTGTGGGAGGGGAATTCGCGTCAAGTGGGCACGCGCAGGTTCTCTTCAACGCGACATTCTACCTACATGCGCAGACAGCTGGTCCCGAATGTACTCGATGGTCGCGCCTGTGAAGCGTGCGCGTCAGATTGGGGGGCTCTGCAAGTTATTCGCTTCCCCATGCACCTGCTCACCACCTTTACCCCACCTCTCTACAAGCTCGTCTGGAGCCTTGATCGGCACAATCTCATCGTGTAGACTGCAAGCTATGAGCAGCGGCTTGCGCGGCACCTGTTTCGGATCAGCGCCCATGCGGTTCTCCTCCATCACCATGGCTGGCACTTTGTCGGTCATCAGATCAAAAGTCGGCTTGAAGTAGCTCGGATCGCTGCTCGCGTTGCCCGAGATGAGGCCGAGGATATCTGCGCCTGCCGAAGCTCGAACGACGGACCAAAAGCCGGTCAACTTTGCTTGAGAGAAGTACTTGCTCGCTGCACTGGTCAGGCTATCGGCGAGATACTGCTGGAGCTGCGGATAGGTGTTGGCCTTGAAGCTCTCTCGCGGGGGTCAGCAGGCATTCTCACACCCCGCGAAAGCCTGCTCTTTACGTACCAGACCCTGCACAACGCCAACAATCACACCAGCCACGAGCGTGTTGTTGACATGCGTGGCGATCTGTTTCAGATCGACCGGCAGTCCACCTAGGCACCAGCCTTGCACTTTGGCTTCCACATCGGGAGCGTAACTCCGAGCTAGCTGCGCAGCGAAGCCCGTCGCTATCGCACCTCCGCTATAGCCGTAACCCACCACGCGCACTTTGACTCGATCTATTTTCAACTCGGAAAACTCGATCACAGCTCGAATGCCGTCCAATACGGCGTGTCCGGACTGCAAGCCCGCGCCAAAAGCGTCGTTCTGGCCCTGAAGGGGGGGTTAGGTAGCAGGCACATTGTAGCGTCGAGCAGGTACGACAGCAAAAGGTCAATGGGATAATCAACTTGCTCGACAGTCGTCACCACGCACCAGGTAATCCGAAACGGCGCAGATCCAGCCACGATCGAGCATGGGTCCTAGAAATACCAGCTCGGACATGGAATTGCTGGATTGGCTGCCACCGGCACGTAGAGCGTACGAGGTACGCCAAAGCGAGCTGGCAGAATTTGTCTTGGCTGCGGGGGGAAAGTGTGTCAGGCGTTCTTTTTGAGAGCAAGCGCGCGCGTCGCACGCTCACGCTGGTAGGCGATCACTCTGTCGCCCTTGCTATTGGCCGGGACGATGATGGTCGTGACCGTGACTTGCTTGTAAGGGCTAGCTTTTGGACCACCAGTGGTGACGAAGAGCAGCTGCCAAGCCTTTAAGCCATCAGCATCCAGACCAAAGAATGGCGTGAGGAAGATTTCGCGCGACTTGACCACTTGTCCAAGCTCGTAGTCCTTCAGATCGTCTGGCGTCAGCTTGATGCCGTAGAAAACATCGTCGGGAGGAAGCGGCCATGGCTTTTTGCCCCAGCCAAACCAGCACTTGATCGAGTTGAGCACGCCTGGCTGTCCGCATGGACTTTCGGTGCCGTCATCGCCATGGGGCAGCGGTGCAATGGCCTCTGGGCTGGCTTTGACGATCTGTGATCGACCGAAGCGCAAAGGTATGCAGGAAGACGGCACTTCATCCTCATCCTGCTTGGGTGGTGCCGGTGCCGGCGACTGCGGTGCTGTCGCTCCAGCCGGGCAGTGCTCTCGGAGCCAAGTCGACCAGATCATGACAGAGCATAGACGTAGTTCTCGTGCTCGTATTCGCGGGTCGAATGTCGTCTTGAGCGTGTTCGAGCAATGCTCGCGAGGGCCAGTCCTCTGCACGTCCCTATGATGGTGGATCAATCTCATCATCAAGGCGCATCGACACCGTAGTGTACAGAGCAAACGAGACGTGAGCAGCTACATAGTCGCCCTCATCTTGCAACTTGTGGCTTGCGCTGCGCGTGCCCAGGGTGTGAGACTCCGCGCGCGACGGACACACGAAGGCAATCATTCACATTAGTGCACAGGATGAACCGAGGGCTACATTAGCGTCGTCGCGCAAGGTCAATGCTTTGATGAAGCCGCACATATGCTGCTCGCGGTCGCGATTGTCTGCCCGTCAAATAGGTACTTTTTCGCTTGCTGACTCCATTTCGGCGCGTGCACACGCCCCCTATTGCATGCACGGTGCGCGCGAACAACAAAAGCATCGCGAATGTGGAATGTTGTCGCGATCGAGTCGAGGTGTGGGCAAATGCATGTCCAGATTACGGTACATTCATTGATTGGCAATAAGCTCGGGGGCCGGGCCGCAGCATCCGCTCGATTCACTGGAAGCCTGCCACCGTGACTTGTTCCTCCGCCGGCGCCGGGGTCTGCTCCATCACACTCACGATTCCCATGCAAGTCGCATCAACGGCAATCGAAGAAAGGCATCAAATCGATCAACAATCCCTAAATGAAGCTGATGCGCGCACACAGCATTCGTGATAGGCCGCCGCAGCCCTGTTCACTGTGATTTTGATCATGACATTCGCATCCAAAATCTCACCGAGACTTGCCGAGCGCACGCCACACGTCGCACATGAAAAGCTTCGAACATGCGCTGACCATTCTGCACACACGGCATGCACCTTTTGCCCCCCCTCTGGATGCCACATCTAGATGCCCGGCTGTGCTGGTGCACCCTCGGCTGCGTCAGGTTGAGCAGAGGCAACGTCCGCGCTGCCTTGCTGTGGCAAAGGCTTGTTCGCAGGGAAAGCCTGTGAAGAAGCGCGCGCACAGCGCGTTCCATTCGTTGCTCAGCACCTGCATTCTTTCTCGCTCCAGCATCGCCAGCGATCGACACTCACGAGGACCTCCTTGATGGAATTCGAGTCCGTCAAGAACATGACCAGCCTATCGATTCCCATTCCCCAGCCACCGGTCGGAGGCAGACCATGCTCCAGCGCATCGACAAAGACGTGGTCGATGCCCTGAGCTTCGTCATCGCCCGCATCTTTTTGTCTCGTCTGCTCTTCGAAGCGCTCCCTCTGATCAAAGGGATCGTTCCTGAGAAAGAAAGCGAAAGTGAGCGAAAGATCACGTCGTCAGACGAGGGGGGGGCCAGGGCGCAAGTTTGAACACTCGCGCCCGACACTCACAGCTCGGTATAAGCGTTGCAAATCTCCTTGGTCGCGACAAAGACCTCGAAGCGCTCGCACAAGCCCTCGATGTCTCTGTGACGCTTGGCCAGGGGGCTCATGACTTGCGGGTGTCCCACAATAAAGCTAGGATTGACGCACTTGACCTCGATGAATTCTCCGACGAGCTTGTCGATCAGTCGCGCAGAAGTGCGGGGCTCGCTGCAGTCCACGTTGTGCTTGGCTGCCAGATCGCTCAGCCACTTGCGGTTCTCCTCCGTGTGCAGCACATTGGCAGGTGGAAAGGTCACGTTGAGCTGAGACTCTAGCTCCTTGATCATGTCGAACCTCTTCCAGGGCGTAGAGAAATCGATCTCAAACTCTCGTCCGCCTTCCACATCCTTGCCATCGGGATGATACTTGATCTTGTAACCTCCCGTCACAGACTTGACCAAGCCGCTGATCATGCTTTCCGTCAAATCCATAATGTCGTGCATGTCCGCATAGGCCATGTAAAATTCGCAGATGGAGAACTCGGGATTGTGAGTCTGATCGATGGATTCGTTTCGAAACACCCTACCAATTTCGTACACTCTGTCCAATCCACCAACGACGAGCTCCTTGAGGTACAATTCGGGCGCAACGCGCATGAACAGGTCCAGCTTGAGGTCGTTGTGGTGCGTCACGAAAGGCTTGGCCGTAGCGCCGCCAGCAATCATGTTCATCATGGGAGTCTCGACTTCCAAGAAGCCCAGATTGTCCAAGAACCTTCGGACGTAGTTGATGATCTTGGCGCGCTTCACAAAGATATCCCTCACGTGAGGGTTCATGATCAGATCCAAATAGCGCTTGCGGTACCTCTGTTCCTGGTCCGTGAAACCACCTCGGCCCGACGAGCCTGCGGGCGCTTTGGGCAGCATGCGCAGGTTCGGCGCCAAGAGTTGGATCTCTGTGGGAAAGATGGACAGCTCGCCAGTCTTTGTCTTGCCCGGGAAACCCTTGACTCCGACGATGTCTCCGCGCTTGAGCAGATCGTGAGCGGCAAAGAAGGCCTCTTCGCCCGCCTTGTGGTATCTGCAAAAGTGGCGAGCGGGTGTCAGTCGAGCAAGACTCGCGCGCACACACAAAGCCTCGAACGCACTGGATCTGAGCAGTGATCTGCACTTGCACGCCTTCCCCGTGCAAATCGTAGAAGCGCAGCTTGCTGCTTCCCGATCTCATATTGTGGATCCTACCAGCCAAGCTGACCTGCACATCCTCGATGTGTTGACCCTTTTGCGTCTTGTCCGCATACCTCTCGATAAAGTCGGCGATGGAGGAAGAGACGTGAAACTTGTGAGGATAAGGATCCGGCTGCTTGGACTGTCTCAGCGCGAGAATCTGCCTGGAACGCCTCTCGTAGAATTGGTTGGGAGTCAATTCCTCTTCCTCCTCCTTCTTCGCCTTGCTGCCGGATCCTCCCTGCTGCTGCTGCTGCTGCTGCTGAGCCGGCGCAGCTGCAGCCTTGGCCGCTTTGCTCGCCTCCTTTTCGCGCTGTTTCTGTCTTCGCTTCAGCTCGCTGGCGATGCGTGGGGAAGTGGAAGCGTGCGTCGTGGACAGGGAGGTAACGTCAGCAGTGCTTGCACACGTCACCCACGAGTACGCCAACTCACTTCTTGGTGACCATATCCCCAGTCACCTCGTCCTTGAGCAGCTTTGCAGCAGCAGCAGCAGCATCAGCTACGGGTTCCGACATCCTGACAGTCGACGTGAATGATCTCGAATTGCACGACGCCTGAATGCGCACGAACTTGCGAGTCTGATGAGGGAGCAATGATGCAGCGATGAGCGGTCGGGCAAGAGAAGCGAATGGTGCGAGGGAGCGAAGTGCTATCATACAAAGGGGGGGGTGGCAGGCCGGCGTAGGCGAAGGGTGCGCGCCGAGCTGTGTGCTGGTCAGGTACCGCGTGGCACAGATCGATGTAGGCAACAGCTGCACAGTACCAGCGCCGATGCCGATGCCGAGCTTGCTGAACAGAGTCGTGAGTCACGAGTGCGAGTGCGAGTGCGAGTGTCGAAGGAGGGGGGGGGGGCTGCTCACGAATCTCGACTTGCTGTTCCTTGTGTGTCTTCTTGACCGACTTGCATGGCTGAAATGCACCATGCAGCGCCCAAAATCGAGCGCGTGACGCGCGCGTGCGCAGGGCGCAGGGTGTGGGCCGTGGGGGCGGCCAGCCCAGCCACGTGGCGGCTGCTTCTTCGCATCACCTCATCTTTTCGACGTGCAGTCAACAACAAGCACCCACTCGAAACAAGCAGCGAGAGCAACACGCACAATCCGAGGGAGGACCTTTTTGAATAGCATTTGACGTGTGAAAAAGCAAGTAGTAATGGTGTGGGAGGGGTGGGATAAAGAGATGTCACAGGCCCACGACTGATCTGGTCGGCTCGCTGGCCGCACAACGTCCCGAGCATCACGGCCGGACGAGATGAAGGGGGCAAGGTATGATGATTGACCGCCCAGCGTAGCGGTTGCCGCTCTGACGAGTGGGACGCGGGCCGGGCCGAGGGCAGATGGAAAGGGGAAGGTAGCGAAGAATCAAGAGGGGGAGGGGCTATTTACGAGCTCCGAGGAGCGTCTGGCATTGCGAGGGTGCGTGCCACTGGGAGCAGTGAAGCATGAAGCAAAGATCGATTTCTCGCGCGCCTCCTCAATGAAATTCCACTCCAAAAGCAGTGGCCATGCGTCGCATTTCCCACACGTCGAGGTGCTCCGTGCTGATGAGGGGCATGATATGGCGACGGGCGTTTTGCGCGGGGGCAGGATCAGAGCGTGGGCATTTCCACTCTCCGCCAGAAAAGCACACGCCAATGAAGATGACGATGGCCAGCACAATGATGATGACGACGATGATCCAGAAGCAAATGATTCTCTTTCTCCTAGCTTTTCTCGCAGACACGACGGCTTTGCCGGTCTGCTCCGTGCCTTGCTTCATGTCCATCTCCGTCGTCATGGCAGACTGCTCGATCTGGTTGATCTGCTCTCCCTGCTCCGTGATCAGCGTGTCGATCTCGTTGAACAGCTGCGCCAACTCTGTAATCGTCCTCTCAATCTTGAGAATCTCGTCGTGTCTGGCTTGAACCTCGCGCAGAGCTCCACGAGCCTCGCCATGTCGATTCGAGTTGAGCAGAGCTTGCGAAAAGATTTGTCCTCCCGACTCATCCTCTACCGCTGCTCGCACCTCTTCAGGAGAGGCGTCCGGCTTGACGATTCTGTATTGGCGCTCTGCTCTCGCGCGCGTCTTTTTCTTGTAGTCGTTCTCCACCTGGACGTAACGCTGAATGAGCTCCTTGAATGCGCCCTTTTGCACGCCCACTTGGGTCTTGCGCACATTCTTTTCTCCGCTCTCCGGCAGCTTGGCGGTCTGAGCGTCGAGGTTGCGGATGCGGTTCTTGACGGCATTCGTCAATCTGCTAGTCTCTTGGGTCAGCTGGTCCAGTTGCGCCTTGGCTTGCTGAGAAGATTGTTCATCCATGTTGTTGAGGCTCCTCGAGTGCAGGTCGGCGATCCGTGCGACATTGTTCTCGACCTGCCTCATCGTATCGCGCACATCGTCAATCTCTGCAAAGAATTGATTCGTGTCCGATGGTCCCACTACGGGTGGCTGTGCGTAGCCGCCACCCTGCTGACCAATGCCCTGCATCTCATATGCGTTGTTTTGCGCTGGAGGAGCGTAAGCTGGTTGTTGTTGCTGCTGGCCGTATCCACCTCCTCCGTAGCCTTGCTGCTGGCCATAGCCCTGCTGCTGACCGTAACCACCTTGACTGTAATTCTGCTGGCCGTAGCCTCCGCCGCCGCCGCTCTGTTGCGGGTATGAGTGGTCGCTGATAGTGGATTGGGACGTGGCGAGGAAGATGATGAGCAGACAATCCCGTGCGCCTTTGATTTGGCGATGCTCACCCGTAGCCATTGTTACCAGCTCCTTGCTGTTGGCCGCCGTAGCCTCCGTAACCAGCGCCGCCAGCTCCCTGCTGAGCCTGCGTCAAGAGCGGGTACAGAGTGTGAGCGAGCGGGTATAGAGTGTGAGCGAGCGGGTACAGAGTGTGAGCATCGCGATGGGAAGAGCTACATTTGGTCGCCGTTCGATGCCAAGCCGAGAACGCGATCGAAGTGACACCAGAGATGCTCGTGATCCTACACCAATCGAGCGCGTACACCATGTTGCGCCCGTGCAATCGCAAATTTCGAGCCTGATGTGCTGCTCGGTCACTCACTCGCATAGCTGCCAGTCTATCACGCGCCATGTTGTGTTCGAGATGATGTAGTGATGGGAAAGAGAATTAAAGTGATGGGTAAGGGCTGAACCACCGGCTGGGAAACGGGGAAAGGTCCTTTGTGTCGATCTGTCGCTCCGGGCGGCAGAGATCGTAATCGTATGGGGGGGGGAGGAGTGTGTTGGTGGTGCACCGTCAAGGTGTTTGAGACTTGCAAGGCGGAGGACGGGTCGGGGACGAGGGTATGTGGCGGTGCGGAGCAGCAGCAGGAGCGCGGAGGTAGACAGATGGGCAAGCGGATGCGCCGCTCCGATGCTCTGCTTTTGAAAGGTTTGCGACGGGGGGGGGAAGGCAAGTCGAGGTGTGAAGCCGTTCGCGATGACGGATTGCAGAGACTTTTTTGCTGTTGCAGAACTGTCGTATTCGGCGACGAGGATCGAGCAAGCAAGCGTTTATGCGAAGGTTGTGGGCTGAATGACGGAGATTGGTCGAGTGCTGGAGCAGGCAGATCAGAGGAGAGCGCAAAGGCTCGAGGTTTCCATCGATCAGGTCAGGGGAATCGCTCAGCAGTCGCGCGCGCGAGTGCACGTATACGAGTCGTGAGCGTGCGGATGGTGTCATGCACGCGAAGGAAGGTCGGGGCGCCGGTGGACATGCAAGCGCGTGCACTGTGACTGTGACTGCTGGCGGAATGGCATGGGGCGACCGGGCGCGCGCGGCTCGTTTGGTCTGCTGCTGGCGCGGCAGCAGAGCGCGACGGTTGGCATGCAGATGCGCGCGCATGCTGGAATGGTGCTGCCTGTATAGCTGCTGCATGGAGACCATATGTGCAACGGCTGCATGGCTGGCTGGCTGTGCGGTGATGCGCAGTGGTGTTCTGAAAGAGCGGCGATGCGGGTAGGCTAGCAGCAGTTTGAGGTGTGCATGTGCGGTGCAGCAACATGCATATGCATGCAGCATGGGCAGAGCGCAAGGCGCGTGAGACGAGCGCAGCAGGCAGGCCGTGCAACGTACGTCCAGCGCGGCAGACGGGCGCGTGCGACAATTAAGAATCAAAGCAGCACTCATCATGCAGCTCTGTACTTTCTACCGCACATCACGCGGCACACACAGAGAATCAGCGCATGATGTCCTCGGGAGCTGGCAGCCGTGCGTGCCCGCGCCCGCGGCCTCGACACCGGTGACTGCGCATGGTGATTTGGTGCATGCTGATGCCGCATACGCATATGCATATCACCTAGCTGCTGCACTGCTGATCACTCGAACTTCAGATTCGCTCACCTAGCTTATGGGCAGCGAGCGCACCGCCACATTTGCGACGCTCAAAAGCGTGCAAGTGATTGTCTGCCGGGACTCCGCTCGTCTACCACTACTCAAGTGCTCCCTCGGGTGGCTAGACATGTCTGCATCAGCTTGATGGCGCGCGATGGACGTCCATCAAAGTCACGACTCTATCACAGAGGGTTCCCGCAGCTTCGACGCCGTCTTGCGCATGATGGTCACATCCGTCAGGCGAAAGAGTCACGAATCGCGATGGGAGAGTATCGAATGACAGGCCTGCATGGACAGCCCTGCTGAAATCATAGCCAGCGCTGTTGCACGACGAATCTCATGTGTGTGATGGTCCAAGGTGATGGCCGGATCAGCGAACGTAGCTCTTGGCAGGCACGCGACGGTCGCGCCCTATCGCGCGCGGATACGCCGCTCGGCGTTTGTGTGGCTTGGTGGTCGTTCATCATGATCTTGAGGGACGCTACACGCTGCCGTGCGCATGTTCGACGTGCCAAAGGAGCAGCAGCAAGGTTACTGGACTGGTGTGCATTCACGATTCACGATTTGTGGACGACAAAAAACGCGTGCGCGCGTGTGCGCGGCAGGTCCGCTGTGTCTTCTTAATTGAAACAAACAACTTCGAAGCGATGCACGTGTGGGCGCATGCGGGCGCGCATGAACCCGTGGGCGCGCGGGCGGGGGCGCTGGGGGGGGGCGCATGGGAGAATTGCATGGCGTGGGCACTCGCGCGTGATGCGTGTGCATCTCGCCTCGCGCTGATGGTCGCTGTTGATGATGCCGACGCGCGCGTCGAGGTGTGAATGATCGCTCACTCGTGACTCGTGACTCGCGACTTCTGATCTGCAAGCTCCTCGCGATCACGCTTCTCCATGACATCGCGCCGTCACTACTGTCGCTGCTGTCCACGCGAACGCCAACGCGAACGACACACCTTCCGCGGCGTTCTGGCGATTTTCGCAACGAATGCGCGCGTCACGGGTGTCTTGATACGACGTTCCACGTACGACGCAAGCCGACCATCGATCGATCGATCGAGCGGTGCTGGGCAAGCTCTGATCGCGCGCGAGGAAACCTCGAATCTCCAAACCACCTGGCGCGGAACACAACCGCGCCGCTGTACAGCACATTCGCAGCTGTGCCAACTTTGAGTCCAGCAAGTGCTGCATGGCCTGCGAGTGGTGAAGGCCCATCTAGCGTGCACCTCTCGTGTCTGCAGGAGAGTCAGAGTGATCAGCATCTCCAACATCGTCATGCTGGACGTGCTGGACAAGTATCCCGTGCTATCGGCCCTGTTGCCCTTCATATATTGGAGCACCTTGCCAAGCATCGGTACGCAACTCGCCCTGCACGCCTTCTACACCATTTCGCCCTCGCTTCGCCCCACGACGCAAGCCGACGTCGCGCTGCATTTCAACAGAGCTCGCGTCCTGGTAGTGAGCGCCTACCTCTTCTACACGCTCCACCAAGCCCTCGTGGGTGCACCGCCCAACTTTTACACCACCCTCGGTCTGCCGCTGGATGTTGAGACGGAACACGTGCCGAGAGCTTTTAGAAAGCTGGCTAGGATCTATCATCCTGACAAGGTGGGTCCTAGAGGCGAGGCCTTCTTCATCGCTGCTAGGACAGCTGCCGACGTCATTGGCGATCCGACCAAGCGATATGCCTACGATCGGTGAGTGAGCAGAGCGAGCGTGATCCTTCTCCGGAATGGTCCCCGCGAACGCGAGGGCGCATGCGAAAGCGCGGCGGTGAGTGTTGAGGGTATGCGAAGCTGATGCGAGGTGCGCGCGTGCATGCACACGCTCCCCCTTTTTGTTACAAGGTTCGGACCGAGCGTGATCGCTTGGGAGAAGCTGTACACTGTCAGGGAGCACATGGGACAAGGTTTTCAAGAGGCTTTGCCCTACTACGTCGTCCAGCCCGCCATTCTGAGCTTCATCAATTGGCTCAATGGCGACGGTTTCATCGACTTTGTGAGTCTTTGCGAGTCTTTGCGAGTCTTTGCGAGTCTTTGCGAGTCTTTGCGAGTCTTTGCGAGTCTTTGCGAGTCTCTCTCTGCGCATACACGCACTCGTGCTGATGCGCCCGCTCGAACAGTGGAGAGCCACGCTTTTCATGCTCATGGCTTCCTCTGAGCTCTACCTGTGCGCCTTGCCCGAACGACCTGCGCTCCTCGTGCGCCTCTTGCCCAACACCACGCAAGCCGAGGTGGTGTCGTTCTTGCACGAGCTCTTTCTGTCCGTAATGCTCGCGAGCAAACAGATCGCGCCTCTCATTCCCAAGCTGGGCATCATTCCTTCCAACATTCCCCGGTACGGCAAGAGGACGAACGAGGAGACGCAGAGGGATCTGCAAGAGTTGGACAGCGTCATGGTCAGGTTGGCTCAGCTGGCCGAGGTGACGCGAGGAGAATCGCAAAGGGGCGTGGCTGCTAGGTGAGTTGCCGCGGCATGGCAAAGCAATACGCTACACGCGCGGCCCCCCCCCCCCCCCCCCCCCCCCCCCCCCCCGCCCAACACCCCCGCTTACCCCAACACGTCTCGCGCAGTCTTGAACCTCTGCGTCCCTCCCAGAGACCCTCTGCTCAGACCTTGCAACAAGCAGCGCAAGAAGCTGCCAAAGCGGGCGCACCTCCTCGGCCCAATGGGGCCTTTTTGATACGAGAGCCGAGTCAGGTGGAACAGACTTGGATGCACCTGTTCGCAAGGGAAGTGTTCAGAAAGCGGGTGGAGAATAGCAGGTTGGAGATGGGACTCGAGTCGAGCGAGAGAAGCGATGGTGCGCCCCCGACCGCGACCGCGACCGCGACCGCGGGCGCGCCGAATGGACAGGCAAGCAGCGCAGCATCGCAGCCGGGTAGGGAAACCGCGATGCTCTCGAATGGTCAGGGCGTAGATAGGGAGCATCACGCCACGCCTGGCGATCACGATCCCAGGGTTGAGCTCACGCAATAAAAGAAACTGTTCAACCGCACGACGTGCAGAGATTTGTCGCTCGGAACGTGCCTTGATCGATGCATTCTCGCTGTATGGCTGGCGCAGCAAAAAAAGGCGAAGGTAGGATCATTCGCTGCGCTCGCGTAGTCATGCTTTTTGATCGTTGGGTACCCGTTTGGTAGGCAGCCGTTTGGGTGGGAT